CCTCAGCTCTTCAGCTCAAGGCGAGCGCTCTACCACTTGAGCTACAGCGCCACTTCCGGTTTTCTGGTGGTTTATTGGAGATAAGAGTCTCACGGTCTCTCCTGCCCCGGCTGGCTTTGAACCTCGATCCTCAGATCTCAGCCTCCTGATTAGCTAGGATTACAGGCGTGAGCCACCAGCGCCCGGCTTGTTGTATTTTTTTTGTGCTGGCTCTAGAGCTTGAACTGAGGGCTGAGTACTGTCCCTGAGCATTTTCTGCTTAAGGGTAGCACTCTACCATTCAAGCCACAGCTCCCCTTACCGCTTTTTGGTTGTTAATTGGAAATGAATCTCATGAACTTTACTGCCTTTACTGTTAGTCTTAAAATGTAATCCTCAGATCTCAGCCTCCTGAGTAGCTAAGATTATAGGTGTGAGCCACTGGGGGCTGCCTTCACAGCACTTTGGGAAGAGAAAGTTTTTTTATTTCAGAGGATTTATTTAACTAGAATAAGTTATGAAATTACCCCCCATATCCCTAATCTGGAAGGGAAAAAATGCAGTTCTGTATTCATGAGCAATAACAAATGATGAGTTAGCCAATAGTGGTTTCACATCACAGCTCTTGGGAGACTGAGGCAGAAAGCTCTTCTTTCAAGCCAGTCTGGGTTATTTAGTGAGATTATCTCTAAGAGCCAGGGAAAAAACTAGTCTTTTTAAGGCCCTACTCCTGTGAGCCTGATATGGTAGGTACTGATTGTGGTACATATTGAGGTTTAAGGTCATTGGTCTAAAAAGTGAAGTTCTGAAGTTGTATAGACAGGATGATTGTTTAATGTGTGTGTAGTACTAAAATTGATGTTTTTCTCTAAAAAAATTTTTTTTTGTGATCAGTTATTGGGCTTGAACTCTGGGCATGGGCACGGTCCCTGAGCCACTGCTGAGTCACTGCCAAGCACTCCACCACTTGAGTCATAACACCATATCTGTTTTTCTGGTTTCTTGGAGATAAGAGTTTCACGACCTTTCCTGCCCAGTCTGGCTTTGAACTGTGATCTTCAGATATCAGCTTCCTGAGTAACTAGGATTAAGCATGCCACCGGTGCCCAGCTCTTTAAATTTTTTAAAAACATAATAACCAGATCTTACCTCCTTATATGACTTTGCTACTTTTTTTGGAGGGGGTTCTGGTCGTGGGGTCTGAACTCTGGGCCTGGGCGCTGTCCCTCAACTCTTCAGCTCAAGGCAAGTGCTCTACCACTTGAGCCACAGCACCACTTCCACCTTTTTTCTTTTTG